AATTTTATTAAAAAATTTAAATATTAAAAAAATTAGTAAAAATCTTCACAGGCAAATTTGCCTGTGTTACAATTTAAAGGATACAACAGATGGCTGTTGTAAATGTTCCGCAATAGAAAACACTCTTCACATACTTCTATGTTCAAAAAATAATGAAAATATTCGACAATCACTTTTTAATATAACCTCAAACACATTAAATCAGCTTGAAATTACATCTACTCCACCAATTACAATTCTTAATATTCTTTCACAATCTCAGGTACTATATACGTTAGAATTCCACAAATTATATATATTTAATTAGTTTAATTTGGGATCTCTACAGTAATAATACATTCAGAAAAATTTTTCATTTCGTATAGCTTACCAGTATACATGTCTTGTGAATGTATTGTTTAATCAGTTCTGATTTAATCTTATTAGCCTCCAAAAATTGGGTTTGATTCTTCCAGATCCATTTCATCTAACCAACGAGTGATTTCAATAACTTCAGTTGCAGTAGGTCGTTTATCAATATAACAATCGGGTCCTAAACATTTGGTCTTGATCCACAAGATCACCATTAAACGGAATTCCATCAAATGCTCTTAGTCTGGTTAAATCTTAGTCGCAATAACTCCGAAACTGTAATATCTGATGCTTGAGTATATGATTCACCACCAAAATCTCAGGTGCTATATACAGTAGAATTCTACAAATTTTTTTTTCGGATCAGTAATATATGGTTATGCGAACGAGTTTGCAAAATATTTTTGTTGTGTAAAATCTCAAGGTTATCATACAAACTGTTCAATTTATCTTTCCATTCCAATTTGTGTGCAAGATTTTGTTGTAGCGAACCTTTTTAATCTGCATAGCAATATCTAATTTCATACTTGCGTAGTGCAACGTAGGCAATAATTATCTATGAATCCTGCTCTCGAAGCGTAGCATATTTTTTAAAAGCCTAAAAATAAAAAAAAAACAATAAATTTTTATTGTAAAACGAGATAAGAACAGTGTATTATTAATTACTTTGTGATCTAATTAATATTGAGTTTTACAAATAACAAAAAAGAATTTTTTATTACTATCTATATAATGGGTACATTTATTGATAAAAAGTATAAAAGTATACACCGAACCAGCGGTGGTACCCCAACCCACCGTGAGATGGGATGTTCCATTAAGAGTACTGCTGCTAGCTACACCCCTTTACGGCTTTTAAAGGAACCCATGGCGCTACTCATGGGAGCCCCAACCATATCACCCCCGTAGTGCAGTGAGGGTAGGTTGTTTCCGAATAGCATCATCAAACTACCTTAATTTATTTCAATAGTCTCCGCTCATTCGGACTTAGTAGTTCCTTTCATGGGAAACTTATATAAGGGATAAGGAGGAGTGGTAAAAAAAATTGTGGGATTCTAACATAATGAATCTGATTGGTTATCAATATGCAATACTTCAATAACGATAATGAAACGTCGTCATTTGATATTTCACTATAATTACCAACATGATCTTGACAAAATGAAATCGACGAAGTTATTTTAAGAGCTTTATATTCATTGATGTAATGCTTTTTATTGTTTAAATAAACTTGTACATATATTATCGAATATGCATATATATTGTGTATTGTACTGAAGATAATTTATACTGTAAATGAAATTTTGAAACGATACATATAATAAAAGGTAATTTAGTACTGTATTATATATACAGCATACCACTTATAGTAATGCAATAAACGATCCGCCTTTAGTACTGGATTGTTAGTATGTGAGATAAATATATCATATATTCACTGTAAATACTGTAAATACTAGATTCGCTCATGATGTTACAATGTTACACAAATAATTTAAACTACCAGCTACAGTATACGCATATTATTATGTAACTTTTACTGTATGCGAATTTATAGTCGATTTGTTCTGCAACTCTTCCCCATTTAGTTCTGACGATGGGCGGGACCTGTTTGAAACAAGATGTTTATGATTTCGAGAATGAACAAGATCCTAATTATGAACAGAATTCTAATGATGAATGGGATTCTGAATCTTCAAATGAAGATAAATGATCGAGACTAGTCTGAGATTACACGCCACATGGGGACCGCTATGTAAATCAAATGATCAAACTCTATCATATAGCGATAATCCTTTTATCTTTATTCGAGATTCAGGATCCGGAAAATCCATTGACAGTACAATTTTAAATTTTAAAAAAGGAGTTAAATATGCGTCGCACCACTGCGATGTAGCATCTTATTGATAGGCCAATAGAATTTTAAGATTATGTGTAACGTAGCACGATCAGGAAGATTCAAAACAAACGTTCATTTTGACAAAAATTAAAATTTCACATATGAAACTATGCTTCGCTTTCTAATAAAAAAAATTCCTTGCAAAATTTTACTATAAAGTTCTTTTCTTCCACATCCTACCCCTATCTAACCCTAACCCTAATACTAATACTAACTAACAAAAAAGTGGTTTATTTATTTATGTTATGTATAAACAATAAATAAATATATATATATACGATATATAAGCACATCGCAGAGTGTGATGCATACATTTATTCTTTAAAAAAATATAAAAAAAAAATTTTTTAAAATTGTAAATTATATTATATTTAATATAGTAGAAGTTCAACGAAATTGACATTATTAAACTTTGACGAAAGTACAGAAGAGATTGAAGGAATTAATAAGGTATGTATAAGAATCATAACTTTTTTTTTTTATTAATATAATGTCATAGTAGAAACTTTATTACAGTCAGTCCGAAGATTGAAAGTTATCTTATAGT